ATCAGAACCTAGCAAGTAAACAACTGGTCGGTGTTTATGACAATAGCTTTTCATATAACAAAAGTATTCACAAATACTTACCAAGATGCGTGTATGTGAGTATGCGGATAAACTGATAAATTTAAGCAATTAAGATGAAGATCCCTATAAAGCATTCTCCCATTCAGTGTTGCCAGAACTTTTTGGGCCAACCGGTTAAATTGGCAAAAAATTACTAAAATATTTCAACTAAAATTCAAATTTTGTATTTAAAGAAATCACACTACTAGTAAATTCATTAAAGAAATCACAAAAACAGAGACTGGTAAATTAATTACAAAATATTTTTTTTATTTTAGAAAAAATTGTGCCATCTTATATTTAACATTTGCACTAGGTTACTTTTTGTCTTGAAAAATGGCTATACTAGTAGAAAGTATTGCACTTTTGCTTGTCGGAGGGCAATACTTTGAGAAATGAACCCGTAAATCTGTGAAAGTGCTGAGGAAAAAAGCGCAACATTATTTCGAGAAAGGAAATCACTATTCCTTTATTATATGTATATCGAAGTTTTTAAGTTTTAACAAGTAAACTATTTAATTTTATTTTGATGTTCATATATTCGAAACGTTCCTATTTTTAAAGACCTGCTCACTCTCTGCACATGCCTGATATAATTATTTACAGGTAGTGTCTTTCCAGTGAGTTTTTCTTTACATTTCTCATTAGTTATTTTCTAAGTGTTGCGAATTACATTTCACACTTAAATTGAAGACATTCATAACAAAAATTGTATGAAGAGATTCCTCTCCCTTCTTTGGAAAAAATACAGTGGCCCAAATACTATAAAGTGGGGCGCGACATTTTTGCAAGTTTTGACTATTTTTCCTTAATTTATTTAATGTTTATTATGTTTTATGAAAATATAGTTGATTACCTAACAAACACCATATAAATCCAAATTTCAGGCCATGCCAAAATTATGAAAATTCTGCAAAATATTTATAAAATTTTTAACTTTTTAATCAGCATCTTTAGAAAATTTTTGGTATGCAGTTTTATAGTCCATTACATTTTAGCATTATTTGATGCGATTTTGAAGTAGCTAGGACTTACCGTTGATGTTTGGCACTTTGTTTTTTTTTTTTTTTTTTGAATGACGATATTATTAATTTATGTTCGATAATATTTTATGAAAAAAATGCGGAACACCGTCAACAAAAAAAAACAAGGCAAAAATTAACGACAAGTGCCACCTACTTTAAAATTGAACTTTATTATACTAAAATTTTTAAAATACTGCATAAAAAGTCAAAAATTTTGTTGAAAATATACAGAACTCTCATAAATTTTTGCTTAAAAATTTAAATTAAATAAATAGCATTAAACAAAAAACAAATAGCCAAAACTTGCTTATGTGTTTTTCGGAATAGAAAAAAACTGTCTTTTAATTTTATATAGCACAGTCCGACATGAAAATTTTCTAGGAGATAAGGCTAACCATTTCTAATAGATTTTGTGTCGCAAACTTTGTAAAAATTTAAACTTATATATTTGAATTTTAAGAAAGTAAGGCCTATGCAAAATCGGCTATTTTTTTTCTTGCAAAACGGCCAACAAATCGGCTGCCGGCTCCATGCATACACAAGAGTCGTAAGCGAAAAATGTTTAACAAGGTTAACCAGACATTGAGAAACCGGCCCTTAATCGATTTTTCTCCGGTTGTATTGACTATCGCAATCGGCTAAATCTAGCCGGAGAACGGATAAACCGTCAACACTGCTCCTATTTCATGAGTATAAATATGGCAGTACCGCACAGCACTTTGACTTTTGTTGACATATGACAACGTATGTAAACTTGGCAGCATTGTTTTTTACCAAAAAGTTTGTTTACGTTCGCGCCGATTAGATTTTGTTTAAATTTTGTGTTTTTAGTTGGTTTTCATTAAAACACATAAATACTTTGTTCAAAATATTAATCAACATTAAAATATAAACAATGAACAATTCTTCAGATGAATTGAATGCCACACAGGCGCTGGATCGCAAGCAGCGCCTAAAGGACTTGATGGAGACCAATAGAGCTATTCGTAAGTGCGACTACGAACAGATGTAAACAATTTTATAATGCGCTATTTTATTTATTTCTATGAATTTATGCTATTACCCATATTCATACAATCTTGTGCTCACTTACGTATGCATGTACATATGCATATTTTATAAGATTTCATTTTATTTATTGGTGCAACGTAAGCGTCTGATCAAAAATGCTCCTTGCACTTGACTCACTGGTGTTTTAAGTTCAAAATAGTTGGTGTTTGATGTTTGGGAATGGACATTCATATGTATGTATGTATGTAGTTGAGCGCATAAAAATTCGATTGCGTTCGCTTGGCCATGTACACATGGAATACGGCACTCCGGTGAAAGGATCCTTCGACTCGGCACCCATGGGTCGACAACAAAATAGAAGTACGAAGTTAAGAAGGACCTGTCTGCACTCGGGATGAACAACTCGCGCATGAATTTCGGCCCCGGCTCAACCAAATAAGAAAAAGAAGTTACTGCAGGGTATATCCGATTCTAATGTCGTACATTTCCTGCAAGACTGTTACAATCCAAAAAATCAAAAACTCGAGAAAAACAGCTTTAAAGTTTTGAATTTATGTACATATCGCACGTTTAATAATATAGAGATGTAACACAAAATTTACGTTTTTAGGGGTTTCCTTATGTAATTAATAAGCTTGATAAGGAGAATATGTTCAGTCTAACAGATAACCAAACTTTACCATTTGTCTTTTTGTGTACCAAATGTGTGAATTGATAAAACTTTGATTGCGTTTTCCCAAAAAATGGAAATTTTGAAATACTTCGTTGTATTTTTAAACGTGCGATATATTCATATAATAATAATGAATACATATGTATAATATTATTTTCTTCTATTAGCTACTTACTGGTAATCGGTGCAGCCATGATAAAAATATAGTAAGGTAGAACCGCTGAGAGTCACTTTTAAAATTCTTGACGTTTCCAAACAATTTAATTTTTAAATTTACTCACAAACTCACACACACATTTTCATTTTCAATCTCAAGCAACAACAATTTCGAACAATTTCATTTTTTTATTTTCACTTTTATATGATTTTAAAATGTTGGCAAACTTCAAAAAAAAATCATGGCCGACAAATTGAGAGAACGGTTATACCTTGCTATGTTTTTATCATGGGTGCAGCTATGAAATTTTATTTTTTATTATGAGACTTGCACCAAATTTGCGATATCAACTTAGTAAGTCCATAACTGCACTATTGCCTTAAATATTAACAGCCACGATATTCGTAGTTTAATTAATAAATCTACATGCTTCGTACCTACCTATAAATATCTAGCTCGTCGCAAGGCGCCGACCAAGTTTCTAGCCCAAATTTTCAAAGCATATTCTATTGGCGGCCACTGTGGTGTAGTGGTAAGCAGTGCGCGCTTCCACTGAGCTAGGTCTTGCTTCAAGCCCTAATCAAATCAACATCGCAAAAATATAGAAAAAAGTTGTTTCTTAACAGCGGCCTCCTCGGCAGGCAATGACAAACCTCCGAGTGTATTTCTGCATTGAAAACAGCTTCTCATAGAAATATAATCGCCGTTCGGAGTCGACGTAAAACTGTATGCTTCTCCCCTTTGTGCGACAACATCATGGCGCACGGCGCAAATCAGAGGAGAAGCTCGGCCAAATACTAACATATGTGTAAGCGCCATTCTATTATTATTTTTATTCTATTCAAATGCCAAAAGACGGTGTTTCAGCTGGTCTTCTTTTTAGAAAAGTATTTAAAAATACGATTACACTCATACCT